AATGCTTAATCAAGCTAGAAAGGTTAAACTGTAGAAAACGCACAAACTAAGTGAATTGCTTCAACGGGTTAAAATGGTCAAACTAGCTACGACGATTAAATTTCAAACTGCACAAACTAGCTTAATTAATTCAATGGGTTTAATTGCTCAAACTAGTTACAACTGTTAAATTGCACGAAATGCACAAAGTAGCTAAATTGTTCCAAGTGATGAAAATGCTGAAATTAGCGGCAACGGTTAGATCACACAAAGTACACAAGCTAGCTGAATAAATAATAATAATAATAATAATGACAATAATAAAACATGTCTATGTAGGATGACTATTTCAGTTACAAAGACTGCTATCAAGATGGGTCCTGCGTAAAATGGAAAAATGAGGTATTAATAAGATAAAAGATAAAGTAAGCAAAAATTTAAAAAACTATCTAAGGAATCTTAAAATATATAAATAAAAAGAGAAAAAAGATTGGAACTAGATTGATACACAATCATTAAAAAGATCTGCCCCTTTATAAAAGAACGATCTTTTAGTCGATTCTACTTTAACCTTATCAGTAACTAGTTTGTTCTTGTTTCTAATGTCATAATAATGAATATTACGTCTTTTAATTTGAAAATGTTTGGCGAAATAACTTAGGGCCATTCCCTTGAGGTACTTTTCGACCAGTTTAGCGATGTGGTTCCTCTTTTTTTAAGAGTGACCGAAACGAGACCTATGACCATTTGTTCGGTGGACAAATGGGCATTATTCAGCACTACTCCACCACCTCATCTTTGTAGGCATTCCAGACCTTCTTCATTGCCTATACAACATCCGCGGAAAACAGTAACCCAATAATCCAAAATTGGAAGAATCATCAATCTTTGTATAAAAAGACTCTATTTTGAAATGTGAGTTTTTAACAAAAGTATTTAACTTTTTTAAATCATGAGTCTCACAGGAGATATTAATTCCCCTAACTCATGATGACATGAGACAGTAACTTCCGTTTTTCTTTTAGACAGCAAATTTCTGCCTAAACAAGAGCAACATGGTCTCAACAGATAGAAGTGGGAGGATATTAAAAGGGCAAACTAAACACACTACGAAACTCTAGCTGAATTGACTCACGCGGTTAAAATGGTCAAACTCACTATAAAGTTAAAACCCAAACGAAAAAAATTGAATGGGTTAAACTGGTGATAATGGTTAAACTAGCTTAAACCTTAAAACTGCCCAAAACGCACAAACTAGCTGAATGAATTCAACTTGTTAGAAAGGTCAAACTAGCTAAAACAGTTAAATTGCACAAGTGTACAGACTAAATTAGCTTAACTAGGTGAAATGATCAAACTAGCCAAAACAGATAAATTGCACAAAATGTGCAAACTACCAGAATTACTTCAACTGGTTAAAATGCTCACACTAACTAAACCAGTTACACTGAATTAAATACTAAAACAGCTCAAATTGGATTGACTAGTTAACATAATCAAATTAGCTGAAATAGTTAAACTGGACAAACTGCACAATTTAGCCGAATTGGTTCATTTGGTTAAGATAGTCATAAATGGTTCACCTGGACGGAATGCACAAATTAGCTCACCATTTCAACCAGTTGAACCAATTATGCTGGTTTGCGCACTTTGTCCAGTTCACCTGTTTTAGCTAGTTTAACCATTTTAAATACTTAATGCAATGTAGCTAGATTTTGAATTTTCTGCAATTTAACTGTTTTCGGTAGTTATACCATTTTAACTCGTTGAACGAAGTCAGGTACTTTGTCTATTTCTGCACTCACAGTTTATTTTCACCACTGCTTAAGGAGTGTTTATTACTGCAAAGATCGCTACCATATTCATTGCTTTATCCCCAGTTCACATGTACGATTTTCATATATTTACTGTAATCTAAAATAATCAAATCAAACATAATATACAAAAAAGCTGATCTGCTTTAGTAGTCAAGTAGTTAGGGGTGGGAGTGCAGTTTCATAAAAACTGAGTGCCAAACACCTCATAGTACATTTTCTGTCTGAGGTGACCATATCACGCCAAAACAACACGCGCTCATAATTTGGTTTAAGTACATTGAAAAAAGATGTTCGATGTTTCCATTCCACGTCATAACAAAATGGTTATAATATAATAAAAGTATATTTATAGCATGCCAACCGCACAATTACCATTCTACTGGGAAATATGTGTTGTTTCCATGTCACGTCATCATAATATATTGAAGCAAAATGCGCTCATATTGAAAGAATTCCAAGAAAACTAAAGACAGCTTAATTCTGAGAATTGCGCTTATAATGTGGTTATAGTGTATTGAAAGAGACGGAATTTCGAGAAAATTAAAGACAGTTGGATGCAGAGAAATGCGCCGATAATTTTTTTTAATATAATATATTACTATACATGGTTCAGAAGAAATATGTTCAGACAGTGATTGATAATGGTAATAGGACCGAGTGGAGTCCAATTTGGCCTGTAATCATACGAGTGATTAACAAAATCTGACGACCGCGAACCAGGAGTCCATTTTGTCGATCACGAGTATGATTACAGACAGAACTGGACTAACTCATGATGATCATAACCATTAGAATTTCTGAAAAAAAAAACACTTAGGACAAGCATCTCCTGTAGGGACAATGTGTAAAGTAAAAAATTTGGAAATTTCCTAGTTTTTTTTTCAGGGTAAGTGGTTGTTGCTATGGTTGTTGTGATCAGTTCTGTGATTGGCGGATTTAGCTGAGTGAACTTAGTATAATTGACTGCTTCAACTGTCCGATTACAGCTAACTGTTTGATTACAATGTCCGATTACAAATGTACAGAATGAACTTTGGGGAATTGAATGGTTATGATTATTCAGAAAGTAGTTATGAAAGTAGGTTTATAGATGATAGTGAACTAGACGATGACGCCTTTTATTTTGATGATCAAGACAACATGACATTTCAATAATATAATATGGAAGAAGAAAAACAAGAACTTAAAAAATCATAGAATTAAGAAAGCGACGTATTAAAAATATCTCATGTAATATTATTATTATGTATTGTAATAAACTAATTCATCATAAATCGTAGGATGTAATATGTCCCTTCTGTTATAAACAAATAAAGCAACGATCAGTTATGGCTGTAAAATGTTGTGATGATTAAGGCCTAGAGAATAAAGACCTTGTGATTGTTTGCATCAATTGTGGACAAACTGATGGTTATTAGCAACTACAAGAATCATGTAGCTTCCATGACAATAAACAGAAAATAATATCTTGATAAGTTCATCTTCAACTTAACCAAAAAGTATGACATATATATATCCACGAATTATAAAATAAGATAATAGCAATCTTTGAAAAGATAAACAATGCATTACCACAGATCAGTGGCGATAGAAAATGCATGATCAATATCAATTACGTAGTGAAACAGATCTTAAATGATACACAAATAAATACGGATTGCATAGAAATAACCAAATCAAAGAAAACCCTTGAATACTATCACAACTTTTGGAACAATATATTGAAACTAATTAGTAACGACCACGATACAACAATTAAGCACAAGTAAACTTCTTCCTGTACTGTTGCTCGAAAGCATCAACTAATGGGCGCATGCCTGGGATTATATTATCTACGGTTTTTAATTGGTCCGGATAACTCTCTATCAAATGACACTCCTTTCATAAAGGACCTTAATTCAATGAGTGTCTTTTCATCGTTAGTAAAAGTAAATCGACATAATTCGATCTTCTTTTTAAAATCTATCAATTTACAGTATATTTTTAATATCAACTCATTGTTAGGTACAGACCCAAAATCTCCTTTATCACCTTCGTCACCTTTTGAACCCTGTGACCAGCAAAAATACCCATATAATATATAATATACGTCTATACTATCTTAAAACATAATTTTAGTAATTTTCGGATAAGTTGAGCGCCCGCCTCTTAGAGCCCCATCCAAAACCTCTGCGCTGCAATAAGAAGACATGCCACTACGTGGATCGCCAATATCAACCGCTCCACACGACAATCAAGAAATTCAATTGCTGGAACGGAATGCTAAAGCCAAGGCCAGTTCTTTTTCATCCCGTGCCAATTCCAAACCCGCATCAACTCCTTCGCTGGATATTGGACAAAAATTTAAGGATCTCTCGACTGCTGAATTCGTTATGGCTTCCTGGACATCGCAAATTCCGAAACACCCGACAAACAAGCATTGATGACGTAACCTCTGATGTTTTTAATGCGACTTGCGTTCAACTAACGCTGGAACGCCGTCCTTTCCTTTCATGCCGCCATTCTAGATCGTATTAAAGCCAGTCTTGCTGACTGGAGAGCCGATTTCAGCAAGATAGTGCGATTCAACATCACCGAGTCTCAGCGACTTAGTAACCAACACTCCACCCCCCGCGAACGACACACACACACGCTTACGCCGCACCTGGCCTCAACAACCAGCCACGAAATTATTGCCGCGAATGGAACCGCACCAGCCGGGAGCAGAACACATCTGCGCCTATTGAAAAGTTGCTGATCACACCATTGCCAATTCGTCCACTAGCCTCCTCGATCTGTTCACCACCGTCCGTGCCGCCGCCCAGCTCAGACTGACTAGTCATCTCACCCATCCCCAAAACCCACCAATTACCTCTCCCGTCTCTACTGTCGCACAGCACTCCTCCTCCACTTCGTCGTCCGACACTGTCCTCCCCTTCGGTTTCCGGTCAGCCACTCTCGCTTGCCAGCGCACCACAAACGCCATTTTGTAGATTTTTTGCTCCGCTTATCACCACGAGTGCGTAAACTGCATCGACGACCTTAGCGGCGCTGAGGCGTCCCACGTCAAGATCGTCAAGATCTTGAAGACCTCTTCACCAGCCTGGGTCTGGAATCATCCCCGGTCAAGGATTGTCCTCCTTCCACAAGAATGTCTCTCTTCGGTCTAATTTACGACACTGTAACCATGACTCTTGAGGTTGCGCCTGACAAATTACGTTGAACATGCGAGGTCATTGCATTAGCTCGGGAAGAGTCTTCATGCACCACCTCCTACACCAACTTCGTCAACTTCCCGACAAACCTCATCACTTTTCACCCAACCCAGAACTTCTTGCCGATCTGCGCTGGTGGCAACATTTCCTCTTGGCATACAACGGTGTCTCCTTATTGCGTTCATACCCTCGGATTGATGAAATTTCTCGTTTTTGCACTAACGCAAGCCTTGCTGGTATTGGTGGCTTTTTCGATGGTCGTTTCTTCCACTCCACCTATCCGCCGTTCATTGATGTAGCCTCTCTCACAATCGCTTCGCTCGAAATGCTGACTGTAACTGTCAGCCTCAAATTGTGGTCTCGGGAATTGCAAGGACAGCGAATTTTAGTAAGAAGTGACAATTGGACCACTGAACTCGCCATTAACACTGGTCGTTCTCGCCTTCCATTTATCCTTCAGTCCTGCTTACGTGAAATGTGGTTCTACGCTTCCCTTTGTGACTCAGAGCTACGCGCTCTCCACATCCCAGATCACCAGAACACGTTCGCTGATTCTCTGAGCCGTTGGGAGACTCGACGCCCACATCTTCTATGAGGGAGAATTCCTTCATTACCCCACCTTAACAGAATATTCATGCTCTTTTCATTTGTTCCACTTCGACTGCCAGTGGTAATTCCCTCCTTGTGTCGCCTTTCAGGTTTCCACAAGTGTGATTTACAGTATCATTTCCGACAAATTCAAATCTTCGCATTGTTAGTCGCCACCAAGCGGAACTACCAATCCATTTGGAACACCTACCTGAAGTTCTGCCACTTCTACTGTCTTCCACCATTTCCCGCCGTTCCGGCTACAATCGCCACCTTTGCCACCTTGGTCAGCTTTTCCGTTAAATCTCATCATACCATTAACAATTATCTAAGTGCCTTACGACAGCTAAACGTTTTTTGACATTTTTACACGAAGGCTTTCGACGACATTCACGTCAAACAGACTGTGAAAGGTTTCGAAAAGTCGTTGGTTCACATCACTCATCGCAAAGCTCCACTCACACCATCCATCCTGCTCCAATTCGACGCCCTGGTTATCTTCTTCACATTCTTTCGCACAGCAAATTTGGTTCCTCCTTCACTTATTACCTTCTCCGCCTGGAAAGCGCTTTCCAGAATCAGCATCACATTCAACAGTTCCGGCGCCGTTATTACCATTACAAGAAGAAAACTCGCCAAGCCGGTGATACCACCCTTATTGTTCCCGTCCCACGCATTCCTGGATCCCTACTTTGCTCCACATTCGCTTTCCACTCCTTACTACGGACCGCTCCTGTACCCGACACTAATCCTCTCTTCTCTTTTATTTCCACCTCGAACCAACTTGCCTGCATCACTTCCGAGAGCCTTAACGACAGTATTATACATCTGGCTTCCCTCATCTCTTTGGACCCTTGAGACTACTCAGGGCATAGTCTGCATCGCGGCGGTGCTACATTCGCCTTTCAGCTTGGAATCCTAGCTGAACTCATCAAGCTTCAAGGAGATTGGAGATCGGACGCTTTTTTATTGTATTTATCTTTGCCTTTGGTAGACCGCCTTGTGCTCTCGAACATTACCCGCAAGCATATCCAACTTTTGTAACTAGGCCTACCGGGGCTATTTTAATATACTCCTTTACTTTAGGTCTCTGTTTCACCTTCTAGCACCTCGTCCTCTCTCCTCGCACCTCTCTCAGCAAATCTTGTTTGGGCCTCTTTGACTTTGCTTGGAGGCTTTCCTCAAGCCCTCAGGGGCTCCTTGTTTCCTCATTAAAGATGCCCAAACAGATTCACTGTCTCTCTTGTTGGTGGTGTTGTGCGAGTGAGGTGTGGCGGGGGGATAGTTAAATATTTTAATATCGACCCATTTTTGATCTGTTTTTTCAATGTCTATGAAATTATGAAAAGGCTCTTTTGATGATCCAATAATTATTAATACGAAATCATCTGGTCTCCCCTTATAACCATCTTTATTATGCATTTCATGAATACCACTAACTTGAATAACTAATGTTTCTGATGCAACATTAAAGTGTGAATTACTAGATACAAATGTATTACCGCTTGAAGTTGTTAGAAATAAAACAACAGTCTCATTATCATGTCCAAGGTTATAGCAGTAATAGAAAACGGATTCTGTCTTCTCAACAAACACTGTCTTGGTAATAGGATTATCATCTTTAACTGCATCTTTTATTTTCAACTCTTTGGTCATTTTAACAGGTGTGATGAAATTAAAGTACAACCAGTCATTTCATATTTTTTATCCCGCACGCTCAATGGAATATCATTGACACCGTGAGATGCCATAAACTGTAACATGTAGGAGCAAGTCCTATGCATAGGCCACACCTGACTTATTTTTCAAAATAATTGGGAGTTGTGTTATTACGTTGCTCTCACTGATAGTTGTATTGACAAAATTAACATTTGCAGTATGTGCACTTTCATGTCATTGCGCCCGTTGGACATTGATTATACTTCTGCTATTCATATTCAAATTACCAGTCATTACTCCTGTACCATCGCTTTTCAAGGAATTGCTTGTTTTTGTATCAAAATACCTTTTATTGCTTCCATCTGTTGCACTTGTTGGGTCTGCTACATTAATGTCCTTACTGCCATTCATATCAGGACCTTTTGTTACATCCAAAGTAAATATTTTACTGTCAACATATTTCTTATTAACCACATCCTTATCACTATCATCACCGCTGTCACTCTGCTGTCATAATCTCGTATTAATAATGTGCTTTTCAATATTTGTGGTAATAAGTTATCGATATCTATTTTCTTATCTGTGATGTCTTTGTCATCATATTGTGCTCTTCTTAGGTCATAAATGGTCTTATCATCAGCATCCCATCTGTTACCACTTCCCAATTTTAACAACTGGTTATCATCACTTTTTTTCTGTATGCTGTCTCTTAAAATGCCTAATTAACAGCATCATTATTGGAACTGGAGTGTCTGCATTTTTAGTCGATGATTATCAAAGTCATCATCACCTTGAAAATCTTCAGATCCATTAAGAACAGCATTTGCAATACAGTAAATTGGTTTTTCAACTATTCTGATATCGACCTCGATGGCTTTCTTGATTTCATTCATACACTCATCTAAAAGCTCATCTAGTCTTCCTTCAACGTCGTTCTTATATAGCATGAGACCATCAAAAACAAGGCGTGCTATCTCGGCGCTCTCTGTCTTTCATTGACGATTGCCAACAATTCTTTTTGCTTGATCTCTTGTAAACTGAAAAGTCTCCATTAGTGACTTCAGCATCTCTTTGCGATTCTCAATGTAATCATTCAACATCGGAGTTTCAGTATTATTTTGTTTGCAATAATGAGCCAACAATCTTGGGTGTGTATTCTCCATGTCAATGTCCATCATTATTTCATTTGCAATTGTCTCACCTTCTTACCGACTGCTTGAAATGAATCTGCCTCAGAAATTACATTCTCGGGCGTGCAAGGGCGAGAAATTAACAGGGTACCGATCCTTGACGTACAAACGCTTTTCAAGGAGAGGGAGACCTTCCAATACACAAATTTTTACTCGCGTCATCCTCCAAGCGTAAAGAGAGGATACGTAAAAGGAGAACGCTACGCTTCCTGAGAACAACTTTCTGACGCTTTACGTTAAATAAAAATGCTTGAAGAAAAGAGGATACCAAGATGAAATTTTTGAAAAATATATCTCTGAAGTTCATTTTGCTGAGAGAGAAACGTCACTGAAAAACAAAGAAATTATCCTACATAAATAAATGGAGCCTTTTGTAGCACTATATCATTCGGGCTTTACCTAACCTTAAGAACACAGTGACAGAGAAGTGGCATGCTTAAGAGTAATATTTAAGACGCAACCGAAATTGAAATATCGAAAGGGCAAGTCATTAGACGATATCCTGGTCAAGGCTAACCTTAATTTTAAGGCAGAAGAATTAAAATCGCTTGCGAATAACAGGAGTCACGCCACAGGTGTCCCAAGCTCACGTCTTGAAAAAAAGCAAAAGATAAATTCATGAAAGCGCCACGGGCTGTATGACGCCGTATTAAGGTATGCAAGGAATCGTTGAGAATTTGAACGCGTTGTAAGGAATAGTTCTGGGAAAAAAATAAGGTCGATTTACCACGCTAAGTATTCCAAAATATGAACATTCCACACGTAAGATTAATAGGACTTACTTATTCTCTGTGTCTGTTACCGTTCTGATGTTCTCCGTCGTTTTGGGCTTGCTTTGTCATCACTGTTATAGACGGAGGAATGACAGTGATGACAAGACTATTCCTTACAACGTGTTGAATTCTCAACAGGCCAAAGTTTGCCATCAAAGAAAACTAAGAACATTTGTGAGAGGTGTCCAGTCCCAAATCACTGGTCATCCAGTCCATCCTCTGAATCTACTAGCAACTTTACTCAAGCAGTATAGTTGTCTTTCTTTTCCACAATCTACTAGCAACTTTACTCAAGCTGTATAGTTGTTTTTCTTTTTCGCAGAACATTGTTTTTGCTTTTGCTATACGGACTAACAATAGAGCGCTCTATGCTCTCTCAGATTTATCGATGGTCCACTGAAATATTAGCAATCGTCAAAGTTCAATTTTTTTTAAAAGCCGGTGGAAATCGAAGACATCCCCTGAATCTGCAACCGTTTCTCCCCCCGACCCAGACATTGGCTCGTTTTTCTGCTACCGAACATGGATACATTTCATTTGTAGGCAGAAAAATCGTCGAGTATTTTCTCGGTTGATCGATCACCCGATCGACCGTCATAGAGACACTGCTTGCCTCAAGTAATCCATGTAGACGATTTCAGAGTACAGATTGTGTCCTTAAATTTTTGAAATAGTTTACTCAATGAAAACGCTTCGAAGCATACTTTGACTGATCTTTTATAGCACTGTTCGAAAGTGGAAATGTTTTCCACTCCAAGTTGTCCTTCCTTATGTAACACCCCGATGGTAGTCCACATATC